TTTAAGCTTTAAAAAATACCAATTTGGATTTTTGAAAAAAACTTTATTATGTTCAATTTAAAACGTATTTTTTAAAGAAATTTTTCGTTTGTACGAAGAACTTTGGATTTAAATAAATTTAAAAACGGATTCAAACAAAACATAAATTATTGTCATTCGGATTGCACATTTATTATGAATTTAATACCTTTATCTGTTACAAAATTTTGATATAATCTTTTTGGTGATTTTATTTTCTCATTATTATCAGAAAAACTTTGTGTTTGTTTCGTTAATCTTTTATTTTTGGATGTTAGATAGAGAATTCTATTATTTTGTTGCGGTTCTCAAATAATTCAGCGAGTTCTCTTCAGAATGGTTGCTTCAAGTTTTCAAGACCATTTTAGGATTATTAAAAAATTAACTGTTTATTTTCACAAAGAATAAAATTCGAAATTGATTGATCTCAATTTGATTGGATTGAAGATTTTTAATTTTTATAATTTTACACCTTACAAGATTGGAAAGTGAATTTAGATATTAAGTACTTGATTTATTATCAAGTTACGGAATATATCTAAAAAATGATTTTAAATAAAAAAATATTTAGAACATGTATTTCAACTTATTTAAAATTTAGAGCTTTTTGTCGTAATTTTTTCTTCTTAGGGATTTTGATTTATTTAGTTAGACTTCTAGTTTGGAATTAGAATCATTTCCATATTTAGGAAGAATGTTTTATGGATTGAATTTATTTTGTGTAGAGCAGAAATAAGTTTCAGATAATAAAAATATCGTTTTGTTGCAGAGGACCCGACCGATCTTCCTTGCCCCGCCGCCCCTCCCGTCCTGCACAGCTCCACCACCGTGATCCAAGGCTACCAATCCAAAACCCTCGCCTTGGCGGGAACCGTCATCCAAATCCACTGCAGCCGGAAGTACAAAAACGCGAGGGCCCCATGCCAGCCGGGAAAATTACGTTGCGTGGGAGGACGATGGGTGGGAATTAAGCCCATCTGTGGTAACTATCTCCACCCCATTTTACCGCCAAATTTTTACCAAAATCATTCCAGTGCAGGCTTACGGCTGCGACCCACCTCCCGGGGTGTTATTCGCCGACATTTACAACCTCAGTCAGGAACTTCATGATGTCTCTTTTACGAACAAATATCCGATCAAATCGCAAATTACGTATCAGTGTCTCCCGGGGTATACACTGCAAGGAGATGAGGTGTTCTCTTGTTCACAGGGGGGTTGTTGGCTTCCGGCTGAGCCACCCACTTGTTATCGCACCCCGACTAATAATTATTTCTGTAAGTGGTTGAAATCACCGGGATTACCGGATTATTACTTGATTTTTTGTAGTGGAAGTGAATAGTGTTAATGCAATACTGATTTCGGGAGCGACAGGGGCCGGAGTTTTGGGTTTGTTGCTTGTGATTTGCTTGATTACGGTTTGTCGACGAAGGAAGCCTTTAAGTAGGTCCGTTCCGATTGCTCCTCCGGTTACGAGACCGGATTTGGGCGATCATGCAACTCTACTACACCATCCCGATCGTTTGGCTTTGATTCCTTTCGCCGATGGCATGCAGAATGAACAGGTATGTGTTAGGCAACACATAATACACGTCGAGTGGGGTGTGTTCCAAGCACGTTTTAGTTATTTATCGAATTAGGCCAAGGTTTTTGTTAGATATGGACGTGTTATTAATGAGATTAATACATCTTGTGTCGTATAATGTCGTGACGTAATTGTTTAATCGCCTTTAAATAATGTAAATCTAAACGCCGGCTGACAGCTTTCTTATATCACGTTGTGTAAGATTTATGTTTGCGTTGAGGGTGGGGTGTTTTTGATTTTTGTTTTTGAGTTTGAAAATTGCGTCGGAATTTGTCCTAAATTAGTGATCGTTTCACCTGTTATGAAAGTCGATAACAATTCAAATATATATTTGATTAGAATTGTGTGGCCGTGGTACAGAAAACTATCGCCATATAGGGAAGACGTTTGCCTAGTTTGCCGACTCGTAATTATTATTGATAGCCGATAATATGACGTCGATTATCTCTCTCGCGGTTTTTGACTGAAAAATATCACAATTTGGACGTATCGATGTCAGTCCAGTTAACAGTAAAATCGTTCCGACGATGTTATTTATCGACTGGGAAGTGAATTTGCCCTGGACCATTGTTTCAGTACCGTAAAAGCTACTTTTCCGTATCGATCATTCAATTTCAAGTTTCTTTTTTACGATTAATTTATTATTTTCGATCGGTTTTGAGAGTGTGAGAGAGAGGGAAATTTTTAAGGCGATCTTCGGTCACGCTTCTGACTTACGTAATCGCAAAACGAGTCGAATGTCGTTACGTTCGATTGAACTAATTGCGATTTATTGTTCGGACGATTTATTTTAATTGAATTTTGCTCATTTGCTCGCATAGTGCGCTTAATTACCTAATTATCATTCATTACGAGAGAGCCACAGATTTACGGCCGATTCGCGAATCTCCTTGATCCAATTTTTGAAGACGACAGCTTTTTTGTAATCTAGAAATTTAGAGCAAACAGTATTTTACATTTTTGTGGAAATTTACCTTGCAGTATCTGTGTTCTACTCGAATTTTTCAAGAGAATATTTGACAGACTAAAGATTTTTATTAAAGTCATCTGTGTTGCTCAGATTAAAACCCCAACATTGAGAAATATCAAATTTAATTTCCTTTGGATTTATTTCATTCAGTGTTGCCAGTCTTAATTTTAAAATCACGCCCTATTTTGATAGGAATGTAACACGGTATAATCTGTGTATAATCAAATCATATTAAAAAAATAAATTTTAAAATTGTTTTAGGGTTCCTGTCTTTTTTTTCTTTCGTTTATTGAAGTTATTGAAGCAGCTAGAAAATTAAAACTTTTTTTTTCCAAATTTTGTATGTAAATTTGGTACACTAAACATAACTTGACCATAATTTCAAGCGACATTTTTAATTTTATGTTGTTTGGTTTACTAATAAATAAATAAGGAAATCTTCAGACTGTTTTACTGTAATTAGAAAAAAGCCTTGATTTAAGTTCAATATGAGTTTTTGATCTAGGATTACTACCTATTTTAGTTTACAGAGGTCGAATTTTTTGCATACATATTAGTGGTTTTTCACGTGGAAAAAATCTACTAAAATTAGACGAAAATCTTGAACGGCTAATTAAAGTAAAATTATGAAATGTACATTAAATTAATATCTAAGCTCAGTCTCTACTAGTTTTTTACATGAATAAAAATAAGTAATAAAATCAACCTAGAGAAATTCTAATGCAAAAATCTGTTTTTATCGTCTTTATTTTATCGGTAATTTTAGAATAATTAATGATTTGTTAATTTGGAGTAATAGACATAAAAAAGCTCAAAACTCTAATAAATAATAATTGAAAAAGTTTACAATTGGTCTAAATTTTTAACCCTCAAGCGTCAACAATGGTCGCGAACCGATTTTATGACAAATATAATAATCGTGAGAAACCACTAAAACTTTTTTGGTAAGACTTTTACAATTCTACTGAAAATGTTTGATAAATTATGTCAAAATACAGGGTGAACAAAAAGTATGAAACGAAGCGTTTTTTAAAATCATTTGTCTTCAAAAATTAAATTTTGTTATGTTTTTGAGTTTTTTTTTCAAAATGGCAATATATGACAGTTTTGTTTTTGATAAAAATTACATGAAATGTAGGTAGTCGTAATCCTTAGAACATAGCTTTTGTAGAAAAAGGTTTTACCCTCAAACGTCAGAAGTAAAAGTTTTATCTTTCGGACATGGGGTAAAAACACTGTTTTGTCGCCTAAGCGTTTTTCACTTTTACCTGACATTTACCAATTTGGTCTCTTTCTTGCCTCTTTCGCTGCTTCAGTATTTTTTGGAGAGGTACAATGTACATTTTTAGCATTCGACACTTTGCACTACACTAGTTATTCACTAGTTAAATCAGTCAACACGAAAATCTCAACACAAATTCCGAAGTTGACGTTTGTTATGATTTCATTGCAAAACGTCCTGATTATTTTGTTCATTTACTTGCTAATTGTACTCTCTGAATTCGTTTGCGGATAAAATAATTTATTATGTTATTCGGAGTAAATGTAAGTAAGTAAGTAAGTAAGTAAGCCACTCCGTCGGCAAAATAAACAAACGTTCAGCTTTGCCATATAAACTATCACTTTACCTACTCCTAATAACATAATATACTATTATAGTGGGTTGCCATTAGATAAAATTAAAAATTTTGCAAAACTCAAAAACAATAAAAAATTCGAAAAATTGCATTTTTGAGAAACCATTTAAACTAACTATTTACAGTGAAATTTCCTATAAGTGGACAACGATGGTGACTTTATTTTTATCCGGTTAATAGTGGTGTCCTCTTAAAAGAAATAATAAAGCGTACAGGGTGCTGCATTTTGGATGTCCGAATAGGGAATCTCCGAAACTAAGAGGTTTAGCCAAAAACGAGTGATACATTCTGGGGCTCATTTTTTGAGAAAATAATATTGGTTAAAACCGCATCTCGCTATCGTCTTTTGTTTTCGACTTACAGACAAAAGTTGACATTATAGCGAAATCTAAAAAAAAATATATCTTTGTTATTATAGAAGATACGGATTTGAAATAAAGACATTATACAGGCACTTTTTTACGAGGAATTTAATAATGTAGTTAACAACTTTTTTCAGTTATTAGTTTAGCCGTAATAAGATAAACTTGTATTTTTTTAAATGGAAATCATAGGCGGCTATGGCAATTTTGAAGAGCTTATTTTTTTCTGATCTAAAAAATATATATTTGTAACAAAATATTTTTTATAACTATACTTAAAAAGTGAAATACATATTTTGTGTGATAATAGTTGGCCATGGAAAAACTATTTCACTCCAAATGTGTAAATAATAATCAATAAGAGTTTTGTGAACTGTAAAATAGATGAAAAAATAGATAAAATTATAAACATTAAAAAAATACGATACGGTAGAAGCAATGAATAAATATTCGAGCGCCTCAGAACAAAATTATTACATATATAACATACATATTTACATATACAACAGTCAACACAATTACAAAAAACATTTTTTTGATGGTCTAATGGAGGTAGGATAACGTTTCACATAGACGGAATTTGGGTATTTGAATAGCCATATCGTCATTTTTGTGTCATATAAAATATATTTTATTGACACTCTATGTATCATTAGAAGTTGCAATGTTAATGTTAGCTTGTTTAAAAACAAAGAAATGTTATTAGTCGCCAATAAGTTGATTTACAATTTATTTTGCATCTTTTTCATCACTTAGTACTTAGAAAACTCTTTCATTAGTGACACTGGTTGAATATAATATAGTTTAAATCCTTTTAGTTGAAGATGCAACATTTTTCATGGCCAACTGCGAACAAAAATCAAAGATATTTTTTTGCTAAAAATGTATTATAATAATTTGTTACAAATATATATTTTTTAGATAAGAAAAAAATAAGCTTTTTAAAAATGACAGCCATCTATGATTCCCATTTAAAAAAATACAAGTTTATTTTATTACGGCTAAACAAACAACTGAAAAAAATTGTTAACTACATTATTAAATTCTACATTAAAAAGTGCCTATATAATGTCTTTATTTCAAATCTGTGTCTTCTATAACAACGAAGATATGAATTTTTTTAGATTTCGCTAAAATGTCAATTTTTGTCTATAAGTCGAAAACAAAAGACGATAGCGGGATGCGGTTTTAACCAATATTATTTTCTCAAAAAATGAGCCCCAGAATGTATTACTCGTTTTTGGCTAAACCTCTTAGTTTCGGAGATTCCCTATTCGGACATCCAAAATGCAGCACCCTGTACATACGTAAACACAAAATAAAAAATATTAAAAAGGTAATAACATAGTATTTTATACAATAATAGGACTTATCAACTATTTTTTGATGAAAAATTCAAATAATGTAGTTTTCTTCTTGAAACGAGAAAATCTATAATTAAAACTTCATTATTCTGATTCAGTGAAAAGAAAAGTTCATTTTTCTCTTGATTTTGGACTTATTTTGTGGAATTATTTTTCTCTGTAGTAATATCATAAGTGGTAAAATTTTGTCGGCAAAATTTTCAGATTGTACGAGAGTTTGTTGCATAGCAATTTATGGAGTGACATTGTTAGAAAAATCTCGAGTCGCAGACGAGAGGTTTTTGAACAGTGTCACGAGCTAAATTGGCAACAAAAACTCGAGTAAAAGCAATCGAAAAATTTTGCCAGACCAAATTTTACCACGAATGGTATTCGGAGGACTATTTCATGAATAAAACACTTAATGAACTTGCAAGTGTAATGTCAGGAATTGATACATTCCCAAATCGCGTGTTTTCATTCATTTTTCAAATTAAATGAAATAACTGTCAAAATATTTAAAATGACAGTTGTTTAGACTGTTACCATGTCGCAAAATTTTATCGCTTGAAAACTCGCTTGGTTTCGATTTTGTTCGTAAATATCCTTCACTCATTGGCTCTAAATATGAGGTGAAAACGATAAAATTTTTCTTTCATCAATTTTATCGATTGAAATTTTTTACTCATTGTTGAATGACGAGATGCTATTGGCCGAAATGTAAATGAATGAAATAGTCAGCGTTAAATTCCATCACATTGGCGGTATTACTTTTTTGATAACGATGTCACTTTGACAAATGAGTTTACGCAAGTTAAATAACACAAATGTTTTTGAAAAACATGATTTTATTAAATGGCAATTCTAAAAAACAGCTTTAAGATAAGAAACAAAGTCGTTTTTAACAAGAACAATCATTATTCAATTAGGTAATTAATTTAAGTGACATCGTTGTCAAAAAAATAAAATCGTCAATGTAGTGAGATTTGAAAAGCAGAGAAAAATCATTAGTCCAAAATCAAGAGAAAAATTAACTGTTCTAATTCTAAAGTCTAAATCTAAGATCAAAGATAACAATTCTTTTCTTTTTTTAAACTCAATCCGGGGACATACTATATAATATTCTTCAGTCTATTTATTTATTCCTCTAGGTACCTATTTCTTCGTTAACTTAATGTAAGTAGTATTTATTTATATCAAATACAAACACAAACACAAAGTTAAACAGAATTTCAACACTGCTGAGGGCTGAATCGAATAAAACATACACCGATTTATGTGATTCCCCGAATTTTCTGACAGTCAGTCATAACAACAACACACGCGCGCATGACATGCTGTCCGAAGAGATTTTGTTTCAAACGTTCCGGATTGGACTGTCCTCGTCCTTTTATAAGAGAGTCCGTTTAACAGAGGAACAACGCCATTTGAAATACATTGGCTCAAAACGGGGTAACAAAAATGTTCGTTTGACAGAGGAGTCCGCTTATAGGAGGTGTCCGTTAAAAGAGATTTTACTGTATATTATTTATTTAATTATATTTTTTTCAAAAATAAATAGTTTAAGCAAAAAACGTTTGATTCCATACTTTCTGTTCTCTAATTTTAGTTGAACTAGAAAGAAGTATTTTAGGGGGTGCTGATAAAACTTCACTCACCCGTTATTTTGATATTTCTAGGTCTGTAATTCGCCTCTATTTATCCGTTTGTGGTCTAACGTATTTAAAAATAATAATAATTATATTTAACAAATGTATTAAAGATTTGTATTCGTTTATCACAAATTTTGTTTTTGCAGTCAGCTGTTAATAAAATAAAATTTAATGTTTTGTCTCTTTGTAGGCTTGTTTGCCGAGTTATGACGAAGCGACGCGTGATCGCGCCCCCAATGCGACGTCCAACAGGTTACACCGTCCCCATTGGCCGAATCTGGGAGGTCGTAGGTCACGAACGGCGTCGACTAATCCCGGAGATATAGTTCACGTCACCCGTCACGGTTCCTTGTGAGTATATCGGTGGTTATTTTCTAGAACGTCGTTTTGTTAAAATTATGATATTGTGAATTAGCACGCAGACCGTGTTTCGCGTTAATTAATACGGCAATTACGTGGAGAGCGGTAATAAAACGTTTCGGAATATTGATTCTCTTCTACGTAGACGCGTAAATATCGTTTTGTCGTGTAAAAGTTTTTGGTGGGTACATAAAAGTCACCGATAGGCAATTTTCTCGATCGATTACACTAATGACGAAAAATGCATTTATAAAACCGCTCGGCCTCGTTCGACAATAATTTCGTTCGCACAATTACTCCGCCGGTTGCGATTTAGTTTTTTTGTATTATTTATCCGTTTTATTTTGTCGAATATTTTTGCACCAAGAAAGCGAAGAATTTTAACAAGACCGAGACCCCGGGGCACCGACTATATTGACAGGCCATACACCGGAGACCGTTTAACGACCATTAGTCATTTTACCCATATAATCATTGCCACGTAGTCCAGGCGAAACGATCTCTCAATTATTGTAAATGATACGCCTGTTTCAGAATAATCGGTCATGATGAGCGTGTGAAAACTGCTACATTTCACTATTCTTTTTGATTCTCTTAATTCTAGCGCCTCGCATACGCCTAGTATGGGCTCCACGGACACGGTGGCCGTCTCCGAGGGCTCCACCAATGTCACTCTTGACACAGTCTCCTCTTATAGCGGCTCCCAGCCGGCTTCTTGCAGAGTCCACTGCGGCAGTTTGGCCTCTTTCGACACGAGTTCGGTCCTCAATACCGAAGGTGTGCCGTTATTAGAAGAGAGTGAATTCGAGGAGATCCAAGGAGGAGATAATTTATCGGCCATTGTGGATAATCCCTCCATTTCAGATAACGCCTCCTTTAAATTATCCACGAATTCGGCCGAATTCGTCTAGATTTTTTCCCAGAGATTTTTTAGGTACCTGGAGCGTATTATTGTACAGACTAACAATCTAATTTTATTTTATTCAAAAGTAGGAAAAGTTATTATCGTACTGTATATAATGAATGACCAAAGTTATTATAAGCTTATTATGATAATTTGATACTTACGCTCGAAATATTGGATTGTTACAAGTGTAAGTGTTGTGATATTACATTTAGTTTGTTTTTGTAAAACGTATCAATAAAAAATTATTTAAATTGGTTTTGCATTTTTATTCAATGGTTGCTCTAAAAGAGACAATTCCGGTTTCGAAACGTCGCTTCTCATCAGGTAATTAATACGTACAAATATTTATAAACTAATGAATTTAATTAACAGTTCAGAGGTGGATATTAACGTCTAACCTTGACTCGTCGGTGTGTTTAATTTAAAATAATTACAGATTGCGCGTTTGCAGTATTAGCTCAATAATAATTATTAAACTAATCATTTATCTTTACATTGCAGATACTTTTGTGTTGATCAGGGTAGAAGTGTCAGGATAAATATTTTCGTTTTTTTTTCTCTTCTTGTCCAATAAATTATTCAGTGCATTAGCCTGTCTTAAGTGTGTTTTATAATAAAGTCTCCTTATCGCAGTTAAGATTTTTATCGCATCGATCTGTCTTATCACTCGATCGCCGTCAATCAATTCTGACCGGGAAATAATTATTGTATCGTCAAATTTAAATAAAACCGAGAGAGAAAGAAGCGTTTTTTCGAAGCGAGCAGGTTGTACAAGTTCAATTTTAACGATTTTACGTGATAGAATGAAGATGTCGTCTATAATTCAATTAATAAAGTCAATGTTCCAATAAATGATGGCCGAAGACAAGATTGTTGCATTTCATATCGGCCTCTAATTAGTCGTCGGGGTAGAGGAATGGCGTCCTATAAACGTCGCTGGAATTTCTCAAATAATCCGTTTGATGATTGATTTAATGATTTCAGGAAATAATACACAACTCGTTTTTAGAAAATTTTATTCGAGACGAATCACAAATGTGTTAAAACATTGTGCAAGTACAGAAAGGCGGAAAAATTACTTTTTCTGTCCTCGTGAGCCATAGTACGCCGAATTATTCGGGTTGAGTTGATTCGAGCGATTGTCGTAATCTTGCTGGGAGTAGGAACGTCCGGACGAACCTGCGAAAAGCAGGAAAAGCAAACATTGCATTATTTACTTTGAAACATTTCCCGGAAAAAATTAACTTACCGGTGTTTGAAGAACCCCTGCTTGAAGAGTAGGCCGAATTATTCGGATTCATTTGGTTGGAGCGGTTATCCCGACCACTTTTATCCATTTTTGCACTCGTTGGAACTGTTAGCACTTGGAAAAACTGCACAACTTTTGGTAACAACTTCTTTGCGCTTGCTTGTAATCGACGGTCTATATATACCCGAGCTAATTTTCTTTTCGTAAAAAGGGGATTCACAGGAGAATCCTTGCTGGCATTGGTGGATGCGACTAATCAACAAGAGCTAAATTCTTTTGGGGGCGCTGGTATTTGATTTTTTTGTATTTTTTTAATAACTTAATTTCTGTCTGTGTCAAATATAGAAGTTTTAATATTGGTAAGAAGGGTGTGTGTGGTTGATTGATAGATAAATTATTTATCTCTAAATATGGCGGATGCACCAAATTTTTCCATAATTTTGGAGCAATGAGCCTACATTTTATTTATTTTTAAAAAGAAATCATTAACAAATTCTTCAGCAAAGCTTGAGGGATCAGTAGAACAAAAATAATTAAATCGAAGACTAGGAGTATTTTCAGTTTTGATGAAATTACTCAAAAATTTTGTTTTCAGCGTTTCGTTATTATTTGTAATAGTTTCAATTCTTAATTTATTACATAATAAGTAGGCATACGAAATTAAAAAAAATAAACTGGATGCAGTTTGAGCTTTAGAGAGATTATCTATTTTCTTGGAAGACTATCAGCCTGTTTATATTGCTCAGAAATTATTATCTGTTATTATTTTCCAAAATATTTATTGAAATATATTACTGATTTAATCACTCAATCAGTTGTGTAGCAAACTGTGCGGTGATTTTGGTAAAAATTAAATATTTAAATCAGAATTTTGGTGAAAATAATTGTTGTGTTATTGTTAGTTTTGTTTAGAAATAAAATTACTTGTCGAAGGCAAAGGTATGATTTAACTTGTTTAATAATTTTTGATTCAAGTAGAATCTGTGATAAGCAAATTAATGAGTTGAAAATCTCTAAAACTCATCTTATTCTCTTGTTAGGGACTGGAAACATTTTTCTATGTACAAAGAAATATAATGAATTTGTTACCAAAATTAAAAAAGTTAGAGAAACTAAATTAAGGTTTATTTCTTAATGCTTTTACTATTTAAATGGCAATTAGTTAAAATTCTGAATTAAATGATATCAAATAAAATGTAATGCTCCTTCAAAAAAAAATAATACAATTACGACGCAGATATATTTTGTAGGGGAATTACCTTTTTTCCTACAAGATATCACTGTGTGCATAATAATTGCTTGAAAGCTGTTATCTATCGTTACGTTCTTCAAAATTTTATAAAATACATGTTATCAAATATTTTTGACTCAGAAAAATGTTAATGAAGTGTGAATTTAGTAAAATGGAAATTTTATTTTGTCGAAAGAAAGTTTTTCTATGTCTGGAAATAAATTCAAAGGAAGGTTTGTACATTTTAATTCTTCTAACTATATGATTAGGGAATGAATTCTGAAAATGCGGAATTTTGGATATAAAAGGATGTTTGTTGTATTTGAAAGTAAAATTTATTAATATTCTTGTAGACGTTTCACCTTAATACCACATAAATCATCTGCTTATTATCCTTATGAACTTTCATTAAGTTTATTTAGCATAATTTTATTCCTGTCCTAATATTAATTTTTGTTGGTGGTCTTTTAATTTTGATTAGAAGTGTATTTTTAAAGGAAAAATACAGATTTTTTACTTTAATTATATAATGAAAAGGCTTAAACAAATCATATTATACCTTTATCAAATATGAAAATGATAAAAATTGTTGAAACAATGACGTAGACTAAGCTTTTCGGGGGATTACCTATTTTCCAGTAATTTTCAATTTGCTTGAATGGAAAAATTCTTATCTATATCATTGTTGTGTTTCAAATTAAACAATCATGCTAGAATGAGGCCTGCTCTTAGTTTTAGCTGCGCTAAAAGAAAAAATACTTTTTGAAATTATTAACGAAATTAATAGAGTCATAGCTAAGTATCAAGTTCAAGGGTCTGTTATCAAAACCAGTAATCAGAATTGTTATAAAGTTGTAAGTAAATTTTTTGTGGAGTTTAGTAATGGGACAGTGGCCATTAATAAATAGTTATTTATTATACAAGACGATAAAGAAATTGTTTATCTACGAGTGAAAAGACTTTTTTTACGAGTAGATAAACTATTTTTATCGTCCTGTATAATATTTCGTTTTATTTTGTACTCACCTACCAAAATTTCTTGAATATAAACACTAGATAAAAATTACTTTACTTTACTAGGCGATAAAAGACTACTTTATCTACTGAAATTAGTTGATAAAAGCACTCCTTAACATTGAGTACAAAATTAAAACTATTTTTGTTACTTTGCAAACGTTTCGGGACTTTAATTTTCCCAATTCTCACGGCTACAAACAATTTAGGGAATATGTATTACGAGTATAACTTTTCTACACGAACAAAATCAATTGTTACCTAAATATTAGTGTTTTGTGGGTATAAATTGGGTAGCAAATGAAAACAAAGTTTTACTAGAATACCATTTTTATTGAAAATGTTACAATATTGTTAAAAGATTTCTTTTTTTAGGAGATTGAACATCCCCATCCTTGATTCTGTCCTGTGGGCGTACTTCCTGCAGATCCAGCCCTGGAATTCCAATATACTGGATTATTGGGATTAAGTTGATTAGCCCTATTGTCGAGATAGCTTTTTTGACCTGTGTAACCATGAGTCACAGCTAAAAATATCGTTTTTATCAAAATAAAATAATTCGATTAGTTTTCAGACTTACTGCCTCCTCGGTACGCAGGATTGTTGGGATTTAACTGATTAGCACGATTACTTGTACCTGTTAGATCCATCTTTGTAACAGTTTTAGCACTGATGTGAGAGGAGCCAACGTTGGGTTTTTATAACTAGAGGACGAACAGGAAACTCGGGACTTCACACAAATTATTGATTTTAATTGGAATATAGGAAAGAGTGGAGTTAAGGGTACAATTGTGGGGTTTAGGAACAAATTAAGGATTATGTGTGATATAGGTTCATAATCGTTTCTATAATCAGCTGATTTTGCCAATCGATAATAATAGTGACAACAGTGCGCCATCTTTTATCAGTAACCTTAGTTTAGGCAACAAACCAATATAGAAAATAATGTATTTTTAGAAATCTATTTTATGCCTTGGTGGGGGCCTCCAGCCTTTAATTTTTGTTATTTGGAGTATGTAAAAAATGGTGAAAAATTAGAAAAAAATAAAAATAATTAAAGCCAATTAACTGGTACAAACATTGCTCATTTTTAATAAAGAATTTAATAAAAAAAGAAAGTAAAGAAAACACAATAATCGAGATTGGATTGGTTCGTGAAACTAAATCGCATCGTTTTGCTTCAAAAAATTATGATTTTGCACTTGGTTTTGGCACCCTGAAGAGGTCGCAGTTGTCGAAACCCATCATGATAAAAACCGATTGACCGATGGTTCGTCCGTGGCAATCATCGTGTCGATGTCGGCTCTCGTAGGGATCAGGAAGGCGAGTTGGGCCTCCCGTGGCGCGGTGATCGTCTCACGGTTTGTCAAGAAGTGCTCAGAACTGGTACCAGAAGGTCCATATGCGGCAGGTACCTGTTCAGGTGCGATCTGTCCGGTACGAGATGTTCCGCGTATATGTCGCATACCGCATTTTACAAGGGAAAACCTCATTCCGATCTAAAAACGAGTCGACTTCTCGCTTCGCGGAATTTACAATTCGGACAAAACCATACTTTTATTAAAATTTTTCCTTGCCTAATCACTGAACGATTTTTCAAATGAAATAAATGAGTAATTAAAAAAAAACTTGTACTTGATGTGTCTTTAAAATCCATGATTCAATAAATCAATCAGACGGTAATGTAGTCAAAAGTGTGACAGAAATGATTGACAGTCAAATCGGAAAAAAGCTCGATCATCGAAATTCAACGAAATTACTCGACGACAAGACAGACGTGCATAAATATGAAAAATAATAATAAAAACTGAAAAAAGATAAATTATCGCGAGTGCAAGGCGGGGCCAACGATCCCTAACATATTTGCACATAATTGTGTGGGTATTTTACAATTTTATGAAACTCTTACATGACTTTCTCTTTTTTCCAAACTTATTTTTGGTAAAAATTCTTTAGCATTTTTTTTGATTGTTGTAACAATATTTTTCTCTGTAAAATTCTTCTGTGCTTGTTGAAATTTGTCCAAATACGAGAATCGTGTCACGCGTTGGGTTCCTTGTAGCGATCCTATCGTCCCATGTAAGAAAAGTCTCTTCACCGAAATGATTTATGGTCGTCTGGTCCCGATAATTATTTTGGTAACGTCAAAACACTCGCGACAAATGGTCCATTTAGATCTCTCTACGATATTTTAAATGAAATCGTCAGTTTTGACATGATGCGACTGAATCGTAAAATTTTAATCGTCGATTCATCATAAATCCGGACACTTTTAAATTCTAATCCCGAATTGAATCATCGTACACACAAATTGACAGTCCACGGTGCGAGATAAAAAATTAATTAAAACGTTACGTTTGGAGCCATTATAAAATTCCATAATTAATTTGGAATCATTTAATTGACTATAAAGTCGCGGTCGTGCCGGTCATATTCTTTAATTAAATCAATTTGTTTCGATCTGGATGGCAAACGAAGTCGTTTCGATTTTAATAAAAACTCAAAACGAGTCGACAAGTGAAATTCAAGCCTGAAAAAATTCGTGTTAAGTACTCGAGGTACTTAGCACGCGGCTCGTAAAGATGCGGGATGATAAGTCCGGAATATCCTGTAATTGGGTGAAATTATGGCCGACTTTTATCTTTTATTCTTCTCCCAGAGTGTGCCTCGAATTTTTAGCTGAGGACGAAAAAAATTCACCCATTTTCCACTGAGACATTCTTTAATTGCTTTCGGACGAAAAGATATTTATCTGCGTATGTGTGTAATGCGAATTAAAATTGAAATGCCATTTTTATTAACGTTCCAATATATCAAAATTTATGTCAGGACTGCTCTGCTTTATTGTTTTGATTTTTTTAAAGGTCGCTCACTGCACCGGACTCGATGGTATTAAAGTGAATCAGGGGCGGATTAGGTCCAGTTGCTCCAAGGACGAGTGCAGGCGCCACGGGGGACCATCACCGTAATTGAATTTCATACGAAACCGACACGAAAAACTAGATATGAAAATATAAAGTCGCCACAAAATGAAAAGCATAAATTTGTGCTAAAGAAAAAAATGCTTTTTGTATTTTTTGCTTGAAAAACACAA